ACTCTTTTAACAAAGAAGACAATTGTCGGTACTGATCAGCCGAAAGTCCTTCCGTCGATGTAATCAAGTTCTGCCCATCCGTCAGGTAATCCATTGAATTCTTCCGCCTTTTCAGAGACTGGCGCCACCATTGTTTCACGGACAAAGTATGGTTGGGCGCTATGCCAATTAAAGATCCCGTAGGTAGAACAGCATCATAGTCCGTTTCATTGTTCGTCCAAACGGGTAGCTCCTTCTTAGATGGATCAACCAACGTCAGCGAAGCGACCAAATTGATGTTGCCTATTTCCACTGGCTCAATGACGGTTACTATGTTAGGTCACTGGACGGGCCAAGGCTGTTGTAGCTGAGCGAGTACAACAATTCCAAAGAGGGCCGGTATAACCACATCCTCCTCTACAGTCACACGGCAGCAGGGAACCGATATTTGATGCTGCAAAGTAACATCTTGTCCCTCAAGAACAAAGCGACCCGACGAGGGATTCATAACAGTCCCATTTGCCAAGATTGTCCATACCTAGAATGCCCATCCGTGACCCTAGATCAGCGACAACAACGGTATGCTCCACAGACAAGCTTTCAATCGTCAAATTGACATCAAGTGCACCATGAGACGCTAATGACTCGCCACTGGCAGGACGCAGTGGTACTTGAAAAGAATGCAGTTCTGGAATGTCCGAATTTTCCTGTAACATCGAGTAAACAGCGGTGTCATGAGCGAGACACCCCACCGGTATCAATCAAAAACAAAAACAGGCACGTTATTGACCAAAGCCTTGACATGCCATCCATTAGTCCATATCATCATCAAAAATCATGTTAGCAGGAGTGCGGCCTCATCCCTGATGTTCCGAGTTTAAAGACTGGTTGGGAGTGAAGCATTAATTACTGGTCTTTGTTCAGTGGTCTGGGAAATTTCGGCTAATATGCTCTGGTTGTCCGCATCGGAAACAAGTCTCTGGTTGTCCGCATCGGAAACAAGGCGGTCCACCCGTGTTGTTTGGACAATCTCGATCCCAGTGACCCGTTTGCTTACAGCGGGGACATGGCGTGGACGGTGGTGTAAGAGCTTGTGGACTGCGACAGTCACGATTCTATGCCAAACATGTCCGCATCTCAACAAGAAGTCGGAGATACGCGGGATCTCGACGTTTCCGAAACTAAGCCCAGTTGTGCTGTGCGTTTAAAATCTCCTTGATTATATCCGCTCCAAATGTCACCTCGGCCTTATCGCTAGAAATCTTCGCAACAGTAGCCCTTGGTATCTTTCATATGGTCTGACGTCAAGTTTTCTCTTAATATTCACTTCAATGCCATTTTATTCTATGTATCATTCATCAATCTAAATACAATCAAACACTCCAATGAATCAACAAAATAAAGGGTACAACGAAATAACAAAGATACACAACACCTGAAAAAGCACTGACATAACCAATTCCGAATAAATTCATCTATTGACCAATATTAGAATATCCAAACCCGTCATAAACCATAAAATCAAATATAAACACCCTGGGTACCCTTCTCAAGAACTAACATTATTTTAACAGACACGGAAAAAACCTAAAACACTAAAAATCCAACTAAAACAACCACAACGGCACTGCTGCAAACCACAGCGTGGCCGTAGACTGCAGGACACCAAAAGACATCGACAGTGTCATAGCGCCGTAGTGTCTTCAATTTTAAAAAAACAAAATATAGCAATATTATCACATGACATCATTTAAAAGATAAAATGAGGGTCGTCACACATATAACACTGATTTTATTCACCTAAAAAAACTATTGACCTTCTTATTAGATCAAGTTCAATGTAGCATATGCAAAAAGTTGCAGCAAAATAGCACATATTATTGTTTTCTGTGGGCTTTGATTGGAAACTTAGTTTTATTAGTAGCGGCTGTACATAACAATCATAAATTTATGCTTTACTTTATTTCGCAGTCATGTATTGTATACAGGAAGCAAGCTGCGCACCCAGACAGTCGTAAGGCGTGATTCAATACTCCAACTGAATCTTAGCTACAACAACAAGAAACGGCAAGTGTTTCTAGGAACGTCAAATTTTTTTCAATGTTTACTGGAGATTGTCAACTAGGCTACCTGACCTATGTCAAAACACAAAACCGGGTCATTGTATCGGTATATTCCTTCGCGACAGTTGTCTGCTATCACAGTGTTATTCTAAACTGTCGCAAAACGAAAAGATTCACTGCGATTTAATTGACCAGGTCATATAAATCGCAAGAATAATTCAGATACACCCAGGAATCTAAACATGAATGTGATAAAAAGAGCTTGTGAATCAGGGTTCTTGCAAAGCCATGTTTCGTGCAAAAAAATGAACATTTGTCTAGTCTAGTTTGTCTCATTGTTTAAAAAATTTGACACGCACGCACTGAATACAGGTCACCACCAAACATGCTTCAATGAAAGTGAGTTCTTCCCTTTTAAAGAGCATCCAATCTCACCTTTTGTGATGTCTTGGGTATTACCAAATCGCCAGTAGGCAGAAATATTACAGTTTATTATACGGCAAAGTCAGACGCCAGTATAACACAGCTAACGCTGTGACACTTCAAACACAAGAAGGATAACAATCACGCAGACAGGTAAAGGCAGAGCAATTACGAGAAAACAATTATGAATCCTAATCACCATCCAGTCCGTGGTAAAAACAACAAATTAACGTTGATACACAACACCTCAATATTGAAAACATATTTTGTTAAATGCATGTAGTAGTGTTGTAACCTTCGGATTTCATGGGCTACCACCATTCTGAATCCATCTGCTCGTATTTAATATAGAGCTACCAACCGCCCTGAATGCCGGGACAGTCCCGGAATTGACGTCTAGCGTCCCGTGTCTCGGCCTGGGCTACGGTTGTCCTGAAATTTACCGACAACTAAGGCGTTCTAAAATAAAAGGCCACTGAAGGCATGTCGGCTTCGTTCAAAACTGGAAACGGATGTAATTCACGCAAATATATTTTCAATAAAAACGATTACATCTGTATGGTTCATCAAATAGGAGTGAGTTGCAATTTGTGGATAAGACATGTTCATCAACCGTGACTTCCTGATGCACAAACTAAAATAAGCTGAATAATTGCAAAAAGAATATAACATTATATACAGCAGTCAACGGCGTGTAACAATATTTTGTGTTTCTTGTTTTTAGTTTATAATGCACTGTAGTGTGAGCTCTTTTTAAAGCATGATTTCATCATTCAGTCAGTTTTCTGGCTCGTATAGCCGTCTGTTTTAGGACTCCTTGTTGACAGCTCTTGTCTTAGCGAGAGTTCATTATTATTATACTTCCGTGAGGATTATAAATTTTCAACATAAACTTTGTGAAAACTAACCAAGATCTTCTTAAAGCGGCAAAATCAGTAGACCCTGGTCAGTACAATTTGTATGCCAGAAAAATTTTCCTCTGCTATGTGGAATTCGCTTCCTCCATAGGTCGTTTCCATGACGCATTGACTTAAATATCGTCAGCTCTTATGTATTCTTATTGCACTTCAGAAAATAAAGAATTTTCCTTTAAATAATAATTGCTTCTCCCACAATGCCTTTAAATTTATACTTCATTTTACACATTCGCGCTTATTCTACAAAGGTAAGTTCCCTTCCAAACCTATATCTTATCTACATGGCCACGTTCTTACCAAAAAGTGACATGTCCTCGAAAAATTCGTACAATAAAAATAGTGAGAAAGGCACTCTTTCTTAAAATTCGGAAGCAAAATTAATAAAACTTTATGAGGTATATTTACTCATACATCATGATGCATTGGTCACGCGACAACCTGCAGCTTGGGTACGAACGCCACTAGATGACGGTACAACTCCATGGCTTCGGGCTTTCTTGCGCTCGAGATGTAGATGAGGACCAGGTGATATGTCCAACAACTTTGCAAATGTACATTTACTGTATGTAGCCCACGTGTACTTATTTTTCAAGTAATATACCGGGATCCAAAAACATCCGACTCATGGCCGTATAGGCAAACATCGCTTTGGGGGTTGAATGTCTTTTGTCCGCTAATTTTTTTTTTATAAAAAATGCATAGCACTTCGAAAAATATCATTTCGTGCGGAACTCTATCAAATATGTCACTCAAATGTGATGGAAGAAAAAACAAACAAGCACTCCAAACTATTCTATTCCACAACCTAAACCACGTTACTTTATCAATTCGCTATAGCTGTTTTTAGTTGTCATGACGTAAACCAGCTTTTCGTGCTGTCATCAGAATTGGTTAAGAATAATATTAGCCTATTTTCGCTAATTTATAAAATTTTAGTACTATTGTACAAATTTATGTTATGGCTGCTTTGTAATATCTTTCCCTTGCAAGCCTCTAATGCTCCATAATGTTACTAATGTGAACATTTGTTCGGGATAAATGTTGTTCACGCTGGTGCAACTTATAGTAGTTCAGTTTTACAAAACCCACTGCATGGTTAGAAGGAAAACAAGAGAACTATGCTCAAATAAATGGACACAAAAGCCAAAACGAACTATTTTATCGTCAATTCCCCGAAAAGCATAGGTAACTTACTGTATCCCGTGAAGATGTACATTCCTCACGATTCGACGTGAATTTAAATACCAAATGATCTGAGTCACTATTACATTATCAGATGAGGTACCTCAGTCTACCGTTTCCCATAAAAAACGTCCCACTTTCGATAAGCACTATGCTATGCGTTCGCGTAACCGCCACAATGTGCGCAATTTATGATGACGTCATGTCACGCAAAAGAACGAATCCCATAGAGTCCAAAGACATTTTTGGAATAAATAAATGTAATAGCCTTCTAGCGAAAAATACAATTTTCAACCACTAAAAATTTCAAAACAATTGATTCAGTAATTAATGAGAGAAAGGAGTTTTCATAACGATATGAAGAACAACAACATAATATTGACAAAACGATCAATATGTACATTTCGTGTCCAATTAAAAATCGACTCTGAAGATTTTTGCCTATCTTCTCTTGATATTCAAATAACGACTTTGTTTATATATAAAATATCCCCTTTTTCTCTGTCTAATGTATTCATACCAATAATAAAATGTACACATAATCAGACAATAAAAGTCATTTTAGCAAACGTAGGCGACTGCGACATTATTTTGAAACACTTTGCATATCAGCCTTCCATTCTCACGGAGTGGTATCTTTTGCTTTGAAGTATCCAGCAGAACCTCGCCTCTCCGTAAGCGCAAATAGCGATTTGCAGAGTACAAGTCGGCCATATCAATTTTTCAAAAGATAAAAATAATTTGAAATGCAAATTGATATGGCATATAATACATATGATCTCAAAGTTCAATGGTGGTGGTGAACAACACTCATATCTATACACCTCGGCGGAGTAGTTGAACGTGCATATCTCTGGGAATGTAAGATAAAAATTATTCTGATTCTGGGAAACACTGACAATATGATACGCGATGCGGTGGCTATATACAATACTTCTCCGTGTGAAATTTCATTGGACCCATGTGAAAAATTTACACGCCAATAATGTATTGGCAGTTTGCCTTAGTGCGTTTCGTATGAACATCCTAGCAATAAAAAAGACCACTTTTGTGCAATTCAAAATGAACACAGTTCCTTCCGTCTCGTGGGACTTGAAGTGTCAGCTAAAATCCTGAAAAGGGGTATTTGTTGGCGTGAGTGTTAATTCTATCCGGTGTAACCAAACTTATTCACACTTGAAAATGCTGACTTAAGATAATTCCGTTAAGTAACATGGTAAATGGTATCTCCGGATGGACTCATGCCATGTAAATACCGATTCAGACCGTAAACATGTTGTAAATATAAATATCAAGTAAGCACGCTAGGGCTTAGGGTCAGGTCACATCTTTTGTGCCGTTCTCAGTTACTGCGTTTGTCACAACGTTAGAATGGACGCAATGCGCATCCGGCAAACCTTTCATTCTTGTAAAAGATACATACTTTAGTTGAAAAGAAGTTCCAAGCCCCATCTCGTAATTGCAAAACCATAATTTTTCCTATGTTTTAATTTTTCAGTATATATCAGTCAACTTTATCCCTTGTGTTACAAGTCGATTTCAGTATTATAAGCGATGTTCATATGATACCAAAATTTGGTGCAAACTCGGAAAACTATTTTACCTTTCCTGTTGTATTTTCGGGATCTCATCATATCAATCAAGGTCATTATGCAGTCAAAAATAGATTTTCCAAAATTGTATACAGCATGCACTTGAGCTAATATTTCCAGGCCTCTGAAAACAAAGATGTAATTTAAAGAAATTGCACATTGGATACAGTTGCAGAACATTTTGGAACTTTCGTTACCATCAATCTTTAATTAAAAATGAGAATCAGGAGTGATGCTCTTGAGCAGGACTACTCGGCAGTCTTACCACGGTCCGAATGCAGACCTTCTCAGTATTCAATTGAGGGCACATCTGCACATTTAGGTGATGCGAAAAACAGTTAATTGCTTTTATATTGTTGCATTACTTATTATGAATTGGTAGTGAATAAAATGCCTTCGTCTTGCTCTTACTTCATTGGATCCGAGATTTGAAATATTCAATTACAAAAATAGGAGATGTGATAATTCCAACCAATAAAATTTATTAAATAGTGGATTTTCGTGACATCGGTCATTTTGGAGTATTGTGAACGAATCTTTGGTAAAAATAGTCGAGTATTCCGATTTATAATACAAACCGTTTGGCAAATTGAACCTGATGCCTTCTTCTCTATTTTTGCGTTGAAATAGATCTCGTAACCTATACTAGTGACATTAAATTGGAACTGGGTGCCTAAGCGCATACAAATAGGAATACCCAATGATGCATTGCTACCAAGAGGGTGTTTCTGGGGTTGGCAACTCAGTTCACAAACAAGTTTTATCAATATCAGTTGATGCTTTTCTATTCTTCTCAATTTAACCTTTGCTGTAATTCAAATCTTGAACACTTTATCTAGGCTTTTGTCATTTGGGTTGAGTAGATGTTGGAGTAGTTGCGGGACAGATAATTATACTTAAATGTTTGTTTGATTGGGCGTGAAATTTTTGTCAACATCTCAGACGCCACTTGCATTCCTTGTATGAAAATATTGAAGCAATGACACTTTTTGGGTTCCATTGTAATCGGATACTAATAAATAAACAATGGGCCATTAGCACTAATGCTGCGTGGAATGATAACAACTAAAACCGTGTATCTGTCAGTGAGTTGAGCATTATTTGCCTCTGAAATCAGATTCACTGGTATTTGACCTTTACTTAAACCTAAGACCTAAATCACTCGAAATTTCGAGGGTATGCAAAAGAAAAATGTATCGCGTGCCCGCACGCGTGCTTCTTTACGCCTCGTTATCGAGTTTCACTCAAAATGAAAACACGTCACAATAGTTTTGACGTAGGTTGTCTGCTGCAACGTTATCTGCATTCCAGCGATTGATTCCGTTTGGCGCTTGGTTGAAAATCGTCTCAAAATTATATGGGAGTGCGTCTATGATTTGTTTGTGGAAGAGATAAAACACGATTTGTTTCTTCTGGGAATATCTATCAATGAAATTGCTTACATAAAGAATGTTTCGAATGAATTACATAAATGATCCACAAGGTTTGGGAAATCCAGGTCATTTATTTTCTTACACCACGTTCTGTTGACCATTTTACGTTGCATCTTTCTCATGCGTTTCACACGGTGCCTCCAAGCGAGACTCTGAACAATTAAGAGTAAGTAGGCCATGTGCTTAGAAAGACTGGTCTCGGTCCGGATCGTCATACAGTTCATGTGATCAGAAATGCACTGCCAGAATGACGCGTGCAACTGTAACTTATATTGCAATACTTGAAGAGCGTAAGTATATAATAAACGTGATGCTAAATTAGGAATCAAAATCTGATAATGTCAAAAAAAATGATTGAATATTAAAAATTGACAGGTTCTCACCGAATTTATTCGCTGTTGTTAGTTTTTACTTTTATTGAAGGAAATGAGCAAAATTCACAAAAAAATCATCTAGTATTATTGCTCCTATCCTAGTTAGCAGTAAGTGGCATAGTACAGTGAGAGCAAATTTGCCCATTTTGTTAACCTTTGGCCATCAAGCGTTCCCTATTGTTTATCCAGCACTATATTCACAAAGAGACTTATTTCATGAGTCATTGTTGTGGTATTTAGTCCTTAGTTCATAAGTGTTCCGTTCATCCCTATAATCCTTGAGTTTTAAAGTTTATACTGTATTTAAAATCTAAGATAAATATGCGCGTACGAATAGCTGTTCAAGAATTTGTTGCTATTTTAAAGTGTTGTTTCTCAAGGGTATGCTATATTTAGCAAGAAAGCGAATTGCTTGCCTAAGCGTCTCGACCGTGTTTATTTGATAATAACAAACACCTAGGTATCCCAAACGAATACCAGTTTCGAAAACAATGTCTATTATTCTTTGGATTTGCAAAAAGACAATGTAAAATAATGCGCAAAGCGCAAATACCGCAAAAAGAATCATTGTTGAGTCGTCATTCCCACCCAAGTCAGAAAACATTCGTGTTTATACGCTGCCGAATACGAGCGATCGGTCGGACGCAAAATCGACGCGAAGGACAACAATGCGTGACTGACACAGTAGGTCCAGTCGAAAAATAACATGAACACTATGAAAGCATGTATTTTGGTAAATGGTGTAACTATTTACTTATGGCCAATGTTCTACCTTAGATAAAATTTCTCTCGGCCTTTTTTTTTAACTAAGAGCATTTCAAACGCGAAATATATGTCTGAGAACATAAATATAAGTCTAAAGCCTTTGATGTTGCTGATGTGAAACAAACAAATGACAGGTACAGCCATAACAACGACCGCATACTTCCCGTTTTCATTTCAGGTTTTCGGACCGATGGTTTTGATCGTAATTCTGCTCTACTTTTGCTAAATAAAATAGCTCAATTTTAATGACTTTTATGTGAGGCGGTCTAAATCCACATGTCATGAGTATTCATTTGACGACAAACTCAATGTTGCAGACAGGAGAACTTATTTTGTATTGATACAAGGATAAGAATAACAAGTCCAACATGTAGCAATTTAGCGTCAACATTTCACATTTACTTCTCACGCGAGTTAACGGAGACAAGAGATCTGTTTGTTGACACAAACACCTTGAACTGAATAGCTAATTTAGTATACAGGGAAGCTTTGGGTGAGTGATGAAATCGCTGCTTTTCTCGATTGGTTTCACCTCGAGTAATTGCTATTGGAAGCGAGAAAACACGCGATCAAAATATTAAAGACTGTAATTACAGGCAATATAAAAGCAGGTGTTGAATTTTTAATAAATCCCAAACTCTTGTCCAGCACGCGACGACGCAAATAAATAAAAATAATTCACAAAAATAGGGGATGCAAATTTGTATCAAGGAATAAATAGATTACCCTCATATTGCATGTAGACTAGAAAATTAATGGTAAGTACTCTAAGCAATATTATATAATTGATTTTTTTCTTTAAGAAAAGTGCTGGAAGAAATGGTTGAGGGTTACCATTTTGGGACCATTAGGTATCAAAATGATGAGAGAAAAAACATATTATGCAGCCCAAATTTATTACCTAGTTCAGGTACAAACGTTAGATAGACAGTAACGTGTTATAGAGTATATACCACATCATCATCTATCCAAGACTTCATTTTTCAAAAAAAATCAACAGCGCCGTATATTATCCAATTATCTCTCGTTTCTATATTTTCCATTTTACAACTATCGTCTGTGAAACATGCATCACCAATATAAATTTTTGCAGTGATCAGACGTAACTCGGCATTGAAAGCCATTTATTTATTTTAGGGCCTGTGCGTTCAAAATATATCTCACGAGGCAGAGCTTTACAGGGAACCATCGTGTTTACACTAAAATTCTAAAAACCATTGGTCGCCCCAATGAAAAGTTAAATATAAAAGATTCGGCCGGACGGCCGCATGTGCCTTCTACGTACAATTCACCGTAATCATCTTCAATTTAATGACATTTTCATATACGTTGTTGATATTTAAAGACATGCAAACGATATTAGAAACCAATCTCTTTTGTGCCAGGATGATAAGTACCCGCCGTCGCTGGTGGCCATAAAAGTATAAGGTATGCAAAATTAATAAACTCAAAACCAAATTGCTGACAGAAACAATATACCTCTCGTGCCGAGTTGTCATTATTGGCGCATATTTTGTAATATGACCCTTATTTTTGTATAGTTAAAATCAGAATCGCTGGAAAAATTCATTTATCAGAGTCAAAGTCATACGATTGTACGTCGTATGATCATAATTCATTGAACATACGTTTGATACGAAGCAATATGTAATTCTGCCAAGTGCATAGTCGAAAACGGGGAAACATATTGTTTCCATGGATGGTCAGATCATCTATGATCGAATCATAAATTAGAACTGGGGTTTACATAATACATGAGACAAAATAAGAAAAGACGTAATACCAGTGTTTTTCAAGTATCCGTGTCCCATGCTTAGTTTTGAGAGAAGTACCTTAACATACACCACAACATTTTGGTAATGTACGTGAACAAGTTTTGGGCTTTTGATTGCCACATCTTACGTTAAAGTTGATACATATCGCAGTCTTTTTTGGAAATCTGATCCCGCCTGCTATTGTCCTGGGATGCTAAATTTTATTATTACAATAAATTTCCAAAAATATGATATGCCTGAAATAGTCACTAACGATTTCTAAACATCGATAAACGACGGAAGTTTGTCGCCGTCTGCACGCAATACATAACAATAACGATAATAAACCAGATTTTCATGTCATTTCAGAATGGTAATCATTCACAAACTTATCGTTTGGGAAAAATTCGAATTAGGAAAATTATACCCATATTTAAATTCTGTGAACTGATTTGAGTTTTTTCTATAAACCAGACAAAAGAGGGATTCATGAAATGATAAGAGAATTCAATTCCTAATGTGGCATGTTTTGTTTATTATAGGTTCAATGCTCACGAGTCAAAGATCTGATTGGTCCATCGGATACAGCACATTTCACCTTTTGAATGTAAGCTTCAAACTTGTTTTTTTGCTAGATTTCCGCTTTCGGCAAAGATCAGAAGTGCGATAATGATATGTTTAAAATATCCGATAGTTCTCATCATCTTATGCAAAATCTGTATTACACGTACCTTGCAGTCAGTTTTTTTAATCACACCCTGAAACAGTGACGATTTCGAACCGCATCTATACGGTTTT